AATTGTCATTGAATTTTAAAAAAGATTCCATTCACATTAAACTGAGTAAAAAGAGAAAACCTGGCCTGTTCTGCATTGTCAATCTGTCTCCAATATATGCAGGTGATTTCAGTAAGTTTCTTTGATTCACTGGAGCAAATTTTATTCCCAGGGGTTGAACATCATTAGCTTAAGGAGGGTTTGCCTTTTGTTGCACAGTTATATTCTGATTATAAATCATGCCTTACTTAGTTCATTGTTGGTTGAGACCAGGACACTGGACTCTTTTTTAAAAAAAATCAACTTGATGCTGTGATAGAAGGATGGTCGGGTGAGAATTCGGTGGGGTGAGTTCAGATGGGCTAAAGAGCTTTATTCCAAACTAATCTTGGGATATTGGGATCATAACTGAAGGTGCTATCTTTTAGAAACAGAAATTCAGATTTGATTTCCTGCTCTTAGTAGGACCCGGACTACAGATAAAAATCTGAATTCTCCTTCAGGGCTTTATTTGAAAGGATGCAACCTTAGTGCCAAATGAACCTATACAGACTGAATGTGTCAAGTTGGAACCCCAGTCTTTAGCTAGAGTTAACTTATCTCAGCTTGAATAGCAGAACTACCTAGATTTGGCATCAGTGTCAAACAGCTACTTATTCAGTGGTCGCAATGTTTTATGGCATGTATTCCCTTCAGAAGGTTACCACAATGTTAACATAATATTATTAATAATAATACATGTTGTTGAGACATCTCAATATCCAGTTTCACCCACGAAATATGCAGTCAATTCACTTTACAGTATATTCTGTGAAGCACTTTGAGACGTCTCGAAGATGTGATAAGATGCAATATCAAATGCAAGGATTATTATCTTTATTATTATATCATCTCAAAGCGCTTCACAGGATATACTGTAATTTTGTTGGTGAACCTGACAACCAATTTGCACACAGCAATGTTCCACAAATAGCCATGAACCACGAGTGTCCAATTTTATTTGGAGATTGTTGGCTCGGATACCTGGAGAAACATCCTTGTCTTTTTGAATAGTGCCATGGGATCTTTAATGTCCACCTGAACAGGTAGATGGGACCTTGGTTTAATGTCTCAATCGAAGAACGTCTGTTGAATGGCAGCTTATTGCATTCAGTTTTGTGTATTCTAATTTGAAGAATATATTGATGTAGTTGAGCGTGTTCTGAGAAGAGAGACACTTCTGCTACTTTGGGTTTCAAGGTATTAGGAAATGTCAGCAGAGTACAAATAAAATAATTTTCAATGGAATTTTTCGAATTCACTTCAACTGTCACAGCACAACAAAAGTGCCTGGCTCTGCCAGTCAACTCAAAGAAGCATTGAAACAATAGTATTTGGGCATCTTGTCATTTCTTCATTGAAAATAAATCACAAAATAGGACTTAAATCATTCTTATCTAGTTACCCAAGACAATGCAATTCAAAAAAGAAACAAGGGGTATGTTAATAATTCCTACTATTTTTATTGTATTATGGCAATTTGAATCATACAGTCTCATTCTGTATAAAGAATAAATTCTGTATAAATTCTGTATGTATAAAGAGGATCCATTATTAGAAGATATCACAACAAGAGATAATTTCAGATAGATGTGTGGTGACATGGTAGATATCAATTATCACCTGTATTCAATGAATTAAATTGTTTCTGAAAAGAGAAAATAAATATAATTCAAAGATAGTGAATGGAAAATCATATGGGACCAGCCAATGGCTTCAAAGATCCCAGAGAGATTTGCAAGGTCAAAAAAACTCACGGTGTTGTCCTCAGGTCCTCATCAAAGCTTTAGCGACTATGTCCTCAACCTCTTGGAACTCCCTTCCTCAACCTTCCACCTCACATGTTCTTTATCTGTCTTTATATCCTGCCTAAAAAATCTAATTCTTCAATCTTGCCTCCTCCATCCTCCCTTACTTGGCATCAGATACCATCTGTATGCCATGCTCTGGGATGTATCCTCTGTGAAGGGTGCTATATAAATGCATTTTTTTTGTTGTAGTGACTTGTGAGGTGCACTTTCACCCAAATGTGTGTTCAGTGTCTGGAATGGTTCCTGAAGATTCCTTACATCCTGAGATCCCAATCTTGGCATGCTGTTTGTTCAATGAAGAGTCTGAGAGAAGGTGAAGTTGAATGATGAGTTAACTCTAAGAGCCATTCACACACAGGTTGAGGGCATGGTTGCTAAATTGAGTCTTCTGACTATTCATCCTCTGACTCATGGACATTATTCTGCATTAAATACATGTATGTGTGCTCCAAAGGCACCTTTATTTTATAAGCACCTTTATAAACTTTTTGATATAAATACATTTCTCTCACTGAAAGCGTTAAAGCTAATATTAATAAGAGAATTATTAAACAAATTCAGATAGATACTGTGAATACAAAAAACACAAAATATGTATAGATTTTTTAATTATTTTACACAAAATAATTACTGAAACATCTAAAAACATTATTATTATTAGAATAGGACAAAGTAAGTTTCCAAATTCTGTACATGCGTAGTTTCACAGAGAGGGAACTGTGTTTTGACCTCAAGGCTGGACTATGGGAACTCTCTCTTCTCCGGCCTTCCCAGCACCTCCCTCCACAAGCTGCAGGTCATTCAAAACTCTGCAGCTCGTGTGCTGTCCCGCACCAGGCTTCGCGACCACCCTCCCACCCTCCCACTCCCACCCTCGCTCGCCTCCACTGGTTCCCCATCCCCCAGAGGATCGAATTCAAGATCCTCATCCTCACCTACAAGGCCATTCACGGCCTTGCTCCCTCCTACCTCGCCGACCCACTATCTCCCCTTAATTACCTGCCCGTACCCTCCGTTCCTCTGGCTCCGGTCTGCTCCACATCCCCCGCCCCAACCGCCCTACCATCGGTGGTCGGGCCTTCAGCCTCTCAGCGCCTAGGCTCTGGAACTCCATCCCCCAGTGCCTTCGCCTTGCTTCCTCCCTTTGCTCCTTCAAGGCCGGTCTCAAGAGCTTTCTCTTTGACCGTGCCTTCAGCTCCCCTCTCGACTCTCTACCCCCTCCTCGCTCCCTCCCTTCCCTCCCCTCACCCTGACCATTTTCCCCCTGCTCGGGTCCTGACTCAACTGTCCAGCGCCTTGGGACGTCCTCCCGATGTGAAAGGCACTCTATAAATGAAATCTTGTTGTTGTTGTTGTTTTGAATCTTAAATTTAGGCCAGTTATAATAATAATTATTGTTGCATTTGATATTGTGCCTTTTGCATAAGAAGACATCTCAAAGTCTCAAATTGCTTTACTGAAAACTTGTAGTGACAGTGTACAGAGCCTTGGGCAGACCCCATCTGAAGTATTCCATTCTAAAGTACACCTCAGGAAAGAAATATTGGCCCTGGAGGGATATGGCATAGATTCACCAGAGTGGTTCCAGGCTGAAAGGGTTAAATCATGTGTACAGGTTGCATACATTTGGCTTGCATTCCCTTTAGTTTAGAGGGTTAAGGGGTGATCTAATTGAGGTGTTAAAATGATGAAGGGATTCGATAATACAATACAAAATTACCTTTGTTTAGCGCCTTTCACATCAGGAGAAAGTTCTAAGGCATTGGTCAGTCAGGGATTTGGACCCCAGCTGGGGTCGGGATCGGGGAGGGTGGAGAGCGGGGAGGGTAGGAGATGGTCGTAGGCTCTGTGGAAGAGGAGGGCTTTGAGATGCGCCTTGAAGGAGGCAAGGGAGGGAGCGATGCGAAGGGCAAATACAGAGAAACTATTTCCTCTGGTGAGGGAATCCAGAACAAGGGACCATAATTTTAAAATTCGAGCTAGGATCAATTTTCAAGACAGAGGTCGATAGATTTTTGTTAGGTTGGGGCCTCAAAGGATATGGAGCAAAGTGGGTAAGTGGAGTTAAAGTACAGATCAGCCATGGTCTAATAAATTGGTGGAAATATGCTCAAGCGTCTGAATGGCATTCTCCTATTCCTATGTTCCTACGACAGTATATTTTGTAGGCAAACTATTTATTTAGATAAGCGGCAACACATGAAAGGAATATATCATTCAGTTGAGAGTTGAGAAAATAAACAATTCACTAGTATTCAGTGCAGTTTCAATCCCAGCTCTTAATTTTTAAATAATGATTTTAAGATCCAAACCATGTCCCTCCTTTAATTGTCACCTTTAAGATAATGGCATAGCGTGATTCACAGAATAGAATGACAACTGACAACAAGCTTTCTTAACCGCTTCATTTAAATGCAAAGTAGAAATATCTTGCTTGTCTGGTATTATCATATAAATAAGAAAAGGACTTCAGGTAATTATTCTATGTGTTTTAGATATGAACAGGGTTAAATACAAACTAGAGGATGAAACCCTCTGTGTGGGAAGGAACTTCACAAAATAAAGTAGACTCGCTGTTCAAATGACTCACTTGGTCACAATTATTTTTTGCTTGATGAAAATCTAAAACCTTTGGGGTATAAATGGTTCAGAAGAACTTCTCAGTCACTTAGTGATGATGGTTTACCGATGGGTGCCACAAATGATGGCGCATCTAAGGAAGAAATGATCTACTCCCTCCCTCTTACTGGTCTCATTGGAATCTGCTTATTTGTAAAATATTGAGCAGTCTTGTGAATCTAACGAAAGCTCAGGATGCGGTAAATTGTATAGCAAAGATGTGAGCAATTGGGTGATTGGATGCATAACTGAAATATCTGCTGGTTGGGTGGTGAATTATGGATTATGAATCCCTGTGCTGTTGTGCCGAATTGTACCAACTCTTGATCTTAAGTTTGATCCAATAAATTATTATAATAATAATCCTTGCATTTCATACAGTGCCTTATCACGTCATTGAGAAGTCTTTAAGCACTTCCCAGAATATACTGTAAAGTGTATTTTGTGGGCAACACACGCCCGCCAGTTGCACAAAGCCATGTCCCACAAACAGTTGTGGATTGAGTGACCTTTTTTTAATTATTACACCCCCGGAAAATGATCCGCCTTTTGACTAACAACCGGGTTCCTACTTACTGCTAGATAAAAAGAAGCATTTGGAGTAAGGAAATTTGCCTGAAGTTTTTTTTATATATAAATAAAGATAACAGTTCCAATAATTTATATTGAGACAAAAGAAACTTATCCTGTAAGGAATGGGACAGGGCTTACATGTCAGTTTGGCATGATAATATACTCCAGCTCCTCAGTTCAAAAGGAAACTTTGAAATGTAATATATTTAGTGTAAGATAATGCTTAGTGTTAGTATTCTACTCATATTAACCATACTGTAAATGTAACTTTCACACAAAAGTGCGATTGATCTGTAAATTAAAAAACAAACAGCTCAATGTTGCAATGGGAGGATGGTAGGGTGGGTTTCCTGAAAGGATGAGATCAATGGGCCGTAGGAACTTCATCCAAACCTCTCTTGATCTTGCAATGCTGTTACATGCAGTGGCTGAAATGTAATTGATGCTAGGTTAAATATATTATGGAAGTAGGAACTCAGTTGTTAGTCGATTGGTGGATCACTTTTCCAAGGGTAATAATTCCTTAAAATATAAAATAAATTGGTCATTTCAATCCACAACTGTTTGTGGGACACTCCCGTGCGCAATTGGCTGCTGAGTTTTGCCCACAAAATATAGTCAATTCACTTTACAGTATATTTTTTGAAGTACTTTGAGATGTCTTGAAGATGCCATAAGGCACTATTTCAAATGGAAGGATTTTTATTAGTAGTAGTAGTATCAATGAAACTGGTAAATGTCCTTTATCAAGTCTTCTTATACAGCAAAAAATACAATTGTGCTGTGTGCTCATGAGAACTGTTTACTATCTAGTCTTACCACCAGATGGCGTAGAATATCTTTACAAAGTGGGAGAGCACCTTTTAGAGGTGTTGAAACGAGTATATTATTAAAGGGCAATAATATCCTTTTGCTGCTCTTCAATGTCATTACACTAAATAGTTAAAAAGTATTTCTCACCCTCAGTGGTGCTAATGAATTACTTTGGCAATTCCAAAACCAGGAATATTTCTTGGATGGATCAACTGTTCTAACAGTTAGTATATCTGTCCCTCTGTGTCTCTGGCAAATCGATTCTCAAAACGATTCTATTGCAGCCTTGTGAAGGACACATGTTGTTGTTCTCTGTACAAGTGATGATAAGATGAAGCTTAGGTCAATAGCTTTACATCAGTCTCCACAAAACCCGTTTCATCAAACGGTTGAGACACTGTGACACAACAACTGGGTGATACCTCGCATTTGGTGTTTACTTTCTCATTGCCAATGAGTCTTTGTCCTCAATACTTCACAAAAAGAGCATCTGTTCACTTGTTTGATGAAGTGCATTTGTGTTTTATTAGTGCTGTTTCAGTATTTGGCTGAGAAAATAGGTCACCGTGCAAGACCTCTTTAAAGTGGTTATTAGAGCTGTTCTGGTACAGTTTGTTCCAGGTACCATATTATAGTGACTCATTTTCTTTGTAAAAGGACTTTTCATTTCACTTTTTTCTCCTCAAAATTCTGCCCTTGCCTCTGGGGCCTTTTGGCAAGACCCAAAGCACGATCACTTGAACGGATCTTATTGATTTCACAAAGTGGTGCAGAACCACAGCCCTTCCAGTAGTACTGTTTCTTTCAATGTATCACACCAAGCAATGCAATGGAGAAAGGCAATGTATCTGATGTCTGATGGCCCTATGATGATTTATATTCCCTTCCCTCCATCACAGCAACTTTAGCAAATTGGGGGTAAAACGTTGATACATTTTAATCCAAATACTTTATCCACACTAAAGGAACACATCTTCTTCCTATAATATCACAATAATTTGTAACAATTTAGGTAACAAAGGCCTGAACAAATCTCTTCCTCCTGTGCAACCACCTCTTCTGTTTCTTGTGTGTTATTCATACAAAGAGAAAACAAATCATTATTCAATTACTTTATTCAGAATACCAGCACAAAGGATATTTACATAGAAATATATACTATTTAAATATACAGAAGTTGGACATTCGCATGTAGTGCAAATACAGAAACACAAAATACCAGTTTAAAAAAAACATTATTGAACAAACATCAATTTTATAGTAGAATGCAGCATTTTTATATTGTAAGGTAGTTGTGTAAATACTTTTTGTCTACAATCGGTACCCTCTATAGACTAAGAGATGTGAACTGGGTGGAAAGCTAGGCAATCGGGATGACCACAACAGAGCTTTCTGCAGATCAATCCTTATTTACCTGAGAACAAAAAAGGCTTCCTCTTCCTGAGGATTTCATCCACCAAGCTTTGCAAAAAAAAAGCCAGAGGTAATATCTTTCATAGCTACGGATACAGCATTTGAAATCATAAATGCTCAAGTAGTATCCATTTAGGCTCTATAGTCACACAAACTTCATAACGAATTGTGGGATAGAAACAAGTGGATCGTAAAATTACAAGAGTACATTGCTGGCCCCCACTCCCATTTATTGCATTAGAAAGTACAAGCAAGCTGAGATAAAATTGGACTCAAACCATAGATGTTGTATTTTTACTGATGGAAATACATTTCTACCTGCATTTCATTATTTGTTTTAGATTGATGGATTCCACTGCACTCTAGTCATGAGCATGTTTACTTTTCAGAAGTAACGGCAAGAACAGGATATGATCCTAGATATAGGCAGCACTGCATACAGAACTGAAACATACCCTCTAAACAGCTATTACTTAGCAATTTGCTATATCATTCATTATCCACTTAAATTCATTATCCTACACACACAGACACACAAACACTTGCCAACTAGCTGCGATGCTTGTTATTTAATATTATAATGGATAGCTGGCAGTGAGTTACAAGATGTCATTTCAGCTGAGAAACCACAACAACATAAATTGCAAGAGTGAAGCTCTTGCAGTTTGTATGTCAGCCTGGCTCAGTTGCAAGCAAGCTCCCCTTTGTGTCAGATTGCGAGTTCATGCTCCGAGGTAGGATTTTGAGCTCACAGTCAAAGCTCACACTCCTAATGAAGTGCTGGGGGAAGCACGGTATTGTCAGAGGTGTTATTCTTCTCAGATGACATATCAAACTGAAGTCCCTTCTACCCGGTCATGTGGATGTTAACAATCTCACGGCACGATTTGAAAAGAGAAGGTACTCTGCAAAGCCACGAACATGCTACGGGTTAAACTCATTGCCAGCTATTTGCTACTGAATACAGTATGTATTGAGTAATTGCTAATGTAAAATGTTATCTCTACCTTTCCTACAATTATTCTCTGAAGTACTGGTGCTGAGACATAGCCATTAGTGGTCTAAGACCAGAGAGTGCAAGAGACCATGTACTTCGATCTCCCTGCTCCCCACCCTGCCCTCCACCCTCCCCCACCCTGAACCCAGCTTGGGTCCGTAACTCTGAGTCTGTCCAGCGTCTTGGGACGTCCTCCCAACGTGAAAGGAGCTATACAAATGTAATTTTGTTGTTGTTTCGAGGCTTTTTCTTTGCTGGGGAAATGCTGAATTACAGAATCATAACCTAGATGGTAGAGGCAAATTATCCACTACTCCAGCCAGTAACTAAATCCTGATATCATCTCTGGTCTCACCACTTGGTACAATATTACTTCTGACCTAAACCCATTGCACACATTAGTGGGACTATTAGCCATGTTCCCCAATAACACCCAAACATCAACAAGAAGCAAAAGTAGTAAAACAAACTCAAAGAAAAAATTTCAAAAATCGTCATTTCTACATATTATATATCACCTACATATAATAAAGAACAACAGTTCAAAATGAGTTGCAAGGTAGTAAGACATTTTGGGGCTTGGATGAATAATTTGCCATCTCAATACTCAATGAATTACTTATTTAAAAGTACTCCATCAGTTTAATCCTATAGCCACCATCAATACCAAACGAGGGGAGAAGAAATGGAAAGAGATTGTTTTAAAACAGGACTAAATACGAAAGTTGAACTCATAAACTGCTGCTAATTGTTATTAGGAAATTGTTATTGATCCCCATTTTCTAGTTTAACACCCTGCAACACAAGAAAAGAGTCTCGATTCTTTTAAAAGAAGGAGCATTGAATGAAGAGGTAAGATTGTTGTTGTTTTGAACAGAGTTCAAATCTTTGGCCATGTAAGTTATCAAAAAACAAGCACTTTTGATTACATCAACAAAATCCAAATATTCCACTATTGATAGAAGTCCTATCTGAATATAGATTTGTTGCTTTGTTTCACAAACAAAACGTATCTAATTTGTAGATAAAATGCAGCCCTGGTAAGAATTCTATGATGGTTGACTATGAAAGACATTTGTGCTACATTTTCTTCGGGAACCCATGGCAGCTTTATCTTCATTGACACGTGGCTATTTAAGAGATTATTTGTGCTTCATTTATCCTTGAATGCTACTCTTTGCTGCTGTAATCGGTTTCGCTTGTGCACCTCCTTTTAGCAGAATAGTAATCTGTGGGAGAAATAGAGACAGTGAATACACAAACCACAAGGCTGATGCAGTCATCAAGCAAACAACAACCTTACGAAAGCCTTAGTATGCTGTACATATTTACTTTGGCACTCAGATTAAAAACAATGCGTCTCAAAAGAACAGTGATTTGCCATATACAATGTTTCCAAAAATTTGTGTCTTATGTTTCACTAATCATAATTCTACCGTGTGCAACAGGGCAATTAATTACAAACACTTAAAATATTTCTATTCTTTTAAAGTCAAAATACACAGCATATCTGTGAAGCACATTGGGATATCCTCTCTATTTGAACCATAAGGATATTTATTAAATATTTAAGTTAAAAACAAAATGTGTTAACTTACTAGCCATTCAAAAGCATATTTTTTCATGTGGTATTGAATATTTGGGGGAGACAGAATGTAAAGTGCAATGGAAAAGGATATTAGGAGTGTGAAAGTATTCATGCCCTAAGCTAGGACTTGGCTTCTGCCACTAGAGAGAGCCAGTGAGTTGTGCAAATGCTCTCACACTCAGCCACTGCCAAGTTCCACTGTGGTATTGTTTGTACTCCATTTCTGTTGGTTTACTGCTTGGGTACAGGCCAATGAAAATCACGCTTGCAAGTAAAATTTAAGGCACATTATGCAATTGTGGAACAACTAAATCAACAAAAATATATCAGACCTATGCTTTAGGTGACCTGCATGAGGAAGGAAGTAAATAACATCTTAATTATGTCTTTACCATTAAGTGTGCATTTTCCTTTACTTTATTCCAGAGAGGTACCAGATGTGTTTTTTTTCAGAGGTGAGGGGGAGAAGCGGAAAGGAAAGAAACACTTTCCCTGACGCTTACTAGTTTCTAGTTACATGAAGCATGCTATACAAACTGTTGTATTATTTCAACAATAACAATTTACATTTATATAGCACCCTTCACGCAGAGTAGATTGTTGGAGCGCTTTAGTTTATCTACCAGTTCTTATTTTACCTACCACCAGTCTACACACACACAAATTCTAACATGCAGATCAGGTTTAGTCTTGATTCCTTAAATTTCCTTTTATGGAAAACCATTCAGTTCATTTTTGTGAATCTGTGTACAGTAAAAATGTAATTTATGTTTATTACTGATGCTTTTGCACTGACTCTGGCTGCAAACTTTTGCAAACTCTGGTTGCTTGGAGGAAACCTTGTTTTAAAAAAGTTACTGTTCAGGTTGTGTAAATTACAAACAGATTGTGAAAATCAGAAAGGCCATTTCAGTACCCAGAGAGTTTACCGACTGAAAAAAAAGCATGAATACAACTTTGTATTAGTCAGTGTTCATTTGATTCCAGTCTGACTGTTCTGTTGAAAGGGTTAACCAGTGCAGTGCATAGTTAAGCATTAAGAGAGGCCCAATGGAGAAACCCCTTGTTTAAACAGGTTTTATTCATTTGATGGCCATATTTCCTCAATTCCCGACAGTGATTTTTCACACCAGTGGAAAAAGAAACTATATCACACTTGAGTGAAATATTGTTCTTCTGTCAGTACCATATGTAATCCGCACACACATGTGAAACATCACTGACTGTTGTTGCTGCACACAATGTTCCCTATCAGATTAAAACCCCAATTCATTTTGCAATAAAGAACATTACATCCAAAGTCCAGAGGCCTGAAATTCCACTGAGTCTTAGTCTTTAGGGCTACTCGTATTAAAACTTAAGATTGGTCAGCTTTGTAGAAAATTCTTGAATTCAGTCTAAATTTCGAAGCCGGTTTTCCAGAACACTTGAAAGAACCATCGTGCAAATTTCAACTGAATTGAAGAATTTTCCACAATTCTGCCTTAAATTGTAAGATAAAATGATCTTTTTGACAAAGATTAGTCAGAACTTCAAATCTCTGCTCTAATACATGATGGGCAGAACAGCCTTCTTCTGTGCTGCAAATTTCTATGGTACATTCTACAGTGATGAGAAAATTATAATAATGGGCATTTTCTGATATGATGAGCAACTCAACCTTCGGATGAGATGTTAAACTGAGGTCCCAACTGCCTGTTCAGGTTGACCTTAAAGAACTATTTGAAAAGAGAAGGGAGTTTTTCCCAATGTCCTGGCCAACAAATACCCCAAATAAAATTGGTCACACACTCCATGACCGTTTGTGGGACATTGCTGTGTGCAAACTAGTTGTTGCGTTTCAACCACAAAATACACAGTCAATCCACTTTACAGTACATCCCGTGAAGCGCTTTGAGATATCTTGATGTGATAAGGTGCCATATCAAATGCCAGGATTATTATTAGTATATTATTATTATCTTAAAATGTGCACTCTATTTCTCTGTGATGTTGAAACATATTTCATGCACTTCATTCCCCTGCCCTCAAGTTTCACTCCTCTTCTGAACTCTTTTCTATATAATTATCCACGCTGGGTTATGGTTCAACAGTGCCAGCAGCCCTCCTGTACCTCATCCAAGTGGCCGTTCTTCATGCGACATTGAGTGCTGGCAGCCTACTCGAGCATTACACTCAAGCACGATCCTGTCATCAATCAACCTCCACGCACGTGTCCTATCCATCACTGGGATAGAGATTAGCAGCAGGAATATTGGCTGATTTTTATCCCCTCGCTAACCCAGGGGGCATGTATGCTAATTGCTGTACCTCCTTCTATACACTTTAACAAATGCTAAGATTTGAATCTATACCCAGCACCTAGAATAATCGGGAGCCATTTTATTTATAATTATGCATTTTATCTACAATTATACAGCAGTTTAGAATGTTTCTGAGAGGATTATATTTATACTGGCTAGACTCAGTGGAGATAGAATAACAGTTAGCAGATTGACAGTGGATGTGTAGACTGTGAAACTCTACACTTGGAAGGAATAGCCTTTTAATTATTGCTGTTACTTTTTACTCAAGTCAAAGAATTACAGGCTCTCCAGATGGCTTTGGGAATAGTTGATCCATACATATCCAAGGAAGAATCCCAAATTCCATGCCTAATCTGTGCTGAGTTAATTAATTTCAGCAAGTACAGCACTTGGGCTTCTACAAATGGTTTCAGTATTAGGGAATGGGAAAAAATTAGACAGGTTTCTGACTCCAGGTCACGATCCATGGAGAATTGCAAGTAGACATCAGTGGATACAAATTCTGTTCAGTGTCACCCGCATAGCCAAAGGGCTTCCCATTATACTCATGCATTGCCAAAGGTGCTACTTGTAATGCTGCATGGAATTTTTACTTCCTTGATGAGGGCAGAATTCGACCCTGCAGTGGTCAAACAGCCAGCGAACTCTCACTGACTGACAAAATTCGCACATAAAGAACATCACTTGGTTAAGCCACCAGAGGGCACCCAGTGCTATTGAAACTTCCAGCCATTAGGAAGGGGCATGGAATCAAAATAATAATTGTTGCATGTGATGAAACCCTGATCACATCATTGCAATATCTCAAAGCCCATCACAGGATTTACTGTAGAGTGTATTGGCTGCTTGTTATGTAAGCAAATGCTTTCAGGAGAGGAAGGGAGAAAACTGGAGAAAATATAAAGGATTTAACATGACGTTTATGTCTCCAAATCAACTTTTGGGGAACAATTAAGAGGAATGGTTACAGAAATCAAGTTTTGCAATAAAATGTTTATATACACATTCAGATTTTTTTTCTCTAATAATGTTACAGCAATTCATTTTTTTGGGGGCGGGGCTGTGGAGGAGAGGACCTTCAATGAATGATACCTGTCTGATGTTTTGGACTGTTTTGCACACTTTCAGCATAGCCCAAAACATACACAAATTCAGCAGTCATCTAGAAGTTCAATACAGGAACCAAACACACACAACAATGTATTTTGCGGATTTAAGTGTGGTTCAGTCAACCTGCAGCGAACATCTTTTGTGCGATTTTTTTGGGGAAAAAAATGTTTCATTATCGTTTTAGTTGGGTGGGGGTCAGTCTTAATTCTTTTGAGGCGCTGTGTGCTTTCAGCACCTGTAGACTCAATTCTCTACGATTTCTATTCAAACAAGGCGGAAGATGATATGTCCTCATCCACTTAAGCAAGTAATGCCATTTAACAAAAAAAACCTAAGACCATTTAGATACCTGTCATGCAGGTCTGTCTCCTTTTCTTTGGCTGAGGTGTCCCCTGGGTTTTCCTTTCCTGGGCTTGAACCTCTGGCTGTTGTGAGCAGCTGCTGTTCTGCAGCGTTGCCCCCTGCAGTCCTTGTAAATGTTTCCTTCCACGGATAACGCAGCTCCTGTAAAAAGCCGGGACATCTTGGCAACTCAGCTCTTCCCATTCGAGAGTCCCCGCTGATGGGATTTCCCTTATGAAATCAAAGTTCCATTTTTGCCTGGCAACTTCAATACTTGTCCACAGTAATCGCTGAAAGTCCTCCTGCAGTTGCTCGTGATCGACGGGACCGAATAAGTTTCTTCGGACACGGTCCGCCTTGACCTTCGGGTCTATTTCCACTTTCTCTTCAGACTCGAGTCCCATCATTGCAATGTCCCTGGAGAGCAAGAGCAAGGGGTTAGAAAGGGGGTGGTGGTGGGGGGGGGGGGGGGGGGGGGGGGTGCAACCCCCACACACACACATACACACACAAGCTTCCCAAATCGCTGCGAAAAAAAAACCCACAACAATTTACCAGCAGTACTTTTCACGAGGATCGGTTTCCTGATCACAAACTACTACGGAGTTACTACTGGAGTCATGGGATGGAGTGGGACTCTCCCGATTCATAAAAGCGCCAGAGTTACACCCAGAAACCAGACACAAACACTCCCTCCTCTGCGATACAGTCCCAGTCTCAGTCCAAGTCCAGCGCACCCACTGCAAGTCACACTTTGCCTAATAACTTAATAATAATAAATAACCGACAGTAACTGACACCCTCTCTGACTTGGCCGACAGATCACTGCTCGGGGAGAGGGAGAGGGAGAGAGGGGGGGGGGGGGGGGGGTGGGGGGGGGGGGGAGAGAGAGACTTGTTCCGCCTCAGGTGCGACTCTCTCACCAGGTTCCGCACAGTCCGGGGCGAGCGATACCCTGATCTGCTGTTACGATCGTCCCGTTTTATATCACGTCCACAAAAAAAAATAAAGACAACGCTGAGGTTTCCAAAGGTGCGATCGGCTGCTCTTTGCCGGAATCCCTCGGAACTTGGCTTCGCTTTGCTTTGCTCTCTCTCCTCCTCCTCCTCCTCCTCCTCTCCTCTCCTCCTCCTCCTCTCCTCCTCTGGTCACAGTCACCGAGTGCGTAACATTCCCCAAAGCCACCGCCACCAACAGACGTTTCGAGCATTGCCTCCTCTAAGGCGCGTTTCCCCGCCAGCGGGTCAGTGGCGCTAAGTTTGTGCATCAACTGTAAGTTGTGCAATAATAATAATAATAATACGAGCATTTCTGAGTCACCTTCTCTCATTGCACACACACACACACACACACAGAGACACAGCCCCACCGCAATGACGCACGGATTCTTGCTGAGCTGATCGTTCATTGGGGAGTGGCGTCTGCACAAAACAGGAAAGGAAGGCGGGGGCTGGGGCTTTGGGCTGGGGGGGGCAGGGAGGGGGCAGGGGGCAGGGAGGGGGGGGAGGGGGCAGGGAGGGGGGGGGGCAGGGGCAGGGAGGGGGGGGGGCAGGGAGGGGGGGGGGCAGGGGGGGGGGGGCAGGGAGGGAGGGGGGGGCAGGGCAGGGGGGGGGGGCAGGGCAGGGAGGGGGGGGGCAGGGCGGGAGGGGGGGGCAGGGCGGGAGGGGGGGGGGGGGCAGGGAGGGGGGCAGGGAGAGGGGGGCAGGGAGGGGGGGGCAGGGCAGGGGGGGGCAGGGCAGGGAGGGGGGGAGGGCGGGGGGGGGGGGGAGGGCGGGGGGGGGGGGAGGGCGGGGGGGGGGAGGGGGGCAGGGCAGGGCAGGAGGGGGGGGCAGGGCAGGAGGGGGGGGGGGAGGGCGGGGGGGGGCGGGCCAGGCTGCAAGGGGGTGGGTGATTGACGGGCTCTCGGAATCGAAACGCGAAAAAAAACACACACACTGACGCCCATTCCGCGCTGACTTCCACCGCACTTTTACTACTATATACGGAGGAACAGCCCTTTTTTTGTTCCACGTCCGATTGTTTTGGTAAATAAAGAAACCGAGCGCTCGACACACGCTGCACATACACACACACACACACAGTGCACTACACACAATACACTGCACCCCAGTGCTCTCTCTCCCCCCCTCTCCCTCCCTTCCATTTCCAGAGATCAGGAACTTTTCCTTTCTCCCGATCCCCCCCCCTCCCCACCCCCCACCCCCCGCAACGGGCAGCCCACTAACCGGGCAGTGCAGACACCGATCGATCGGCGATTTAAGACCACTTTTTTTTTTACACACACACAGACCCACACACACACACACAGACACTTCTGCTTTTTTTTTGCTCCTCTAAAACAGGGCATTGCCCCCCCCCCCAAAAAAAAAGGATGGCCACAGAGTCCTCCACACACACACACACACACACACACAAAAAAAAGCTCAAGGAACACGATGGGTCTCTCGCTCCATTCCTTCCCTTCCCTTCCACACCATTCCCACAGGTTGTTCTGAAGTAACCCCCTCCCCACCACCACCCCCTCCCCCTCCCCTCCCCACCCCCTCCCCTCCCCACCCCCTCCCCACCACCAGCAGCTCACCGATCGGTTCGCGATCCACGCACTCCCGCTTCTCTCGGCTGCTTTAGGTCTAGGCCAGCTGTGAGGAATGGGGGGGGGGGGGGGAAAGGGGGAAGGAAGGGGGGAAGGTGGTGGGGGTTGGGGGGGAAAGAGAGAAGTGGGAGCGAGAAGAAGAAAGAGAAAAGGCGAGAGTGGAGAGCGAGTGGGGATGGCGCGCGGTGCGGTGCTGTGCAGTGCTGTGCAGTGCGGCGCTGCCCAGGACTCCCCTCCCGTGGGTTTTGGTTGTTGTTGCTCTCTCTGTGCACTGGTGAGCGTCCGCCTCCGGCTTCTCCATGGGATTTTTCAAGCTCCCCCTCACGTGATAACATCACAGATACATCCAACCCTGGAGCTGCCACTCAGCCACTACACACACCCCCCCCACACACACACACACCCCCACACACACACCCCACACACACACACACACCCCACCCACACACACACACACCCCACCCACACACACACACACCCCCACACACACACACACACCCCACCCACACACACACACACACCCCCCACACACACACACCCCACACACACACACCCCCCCACACACACACACACCCCCACACACCCCCCCCCCACACACACACACCCCCACACACACACACACCCACACACACACACACACACACCCACACCCCCCCCTCCCACACACACCCCCCCACACACCCCCACCCCACACACCCCCACCCCCACACACACACACACCCCACACACGCACACACCCCCACACACACACACACCCCCACACACACACACCCCCACACACACACACCCACACACACACACACCCACCCCCCCCCACACACACACACACACCCCACCCCCACACACCCCACACACACACACACACCCCCACACACACAGACCCACACCCCCCCCCCACGCACCCACACACACCCCCCACACAGCCCACACAGACACACACACACCCCCCACACACACCCCCCCCCACACACCCCCACCCCACACACACACGCCCCACACACGCACACACCCCCACACACGCACACACCCCCACACACACACACCCCCACACACACACCCCCACACCCACACACACACACCCCACACCCCCCCCACACACACACACACCCCACACACACCCCCCCACACATACCCCACACACACATACACCCCACACACACGCCCTCCCCACACGCACCCCCACCCCCACGCCCCCCCCCACACACACACAACCCCACAGACCCCCCCACACACACACACACCCACACACACCCCCACACACAAACACAACCACACCCCCCCACACACACCCACACACACACCCTCACACATACACACACACAACCCCACACATACACACACACACCCACACACAGACACACACACCCACACACCCCCGCCACACACCCCCCCACACACACACACCACCCCCCCCCCCCACACACACACACAACCACACACCCCCCCACACACACACACACCCCACACCCACACACACAACCACACCCCCACACACACACACAACCACACACTCCCCCACACACACCCACAACCACCCCCCCCCACTCACACACCACACACACACCCACCCCCCCCACACACACACACCCACACCCCCCGCCACACACACACACCACCCACACACACACACACAACCACACACACCCCCACACACACACACCCCACACACGCACACACACACACACACACAACCACACCCCCCCCACACACACACACAACCACACCCCCCCACACACACAACCACACCCCCTCCCACACACACACCCACCCCCCCCACACACCCACCCCCCCACACACCCACACCCCCCCCCCACACACACACCCCCACACACACCCTACACACACACAACCACAACCCCCCCACCCACACACACACCCCTCCCCACATACACACACACACCCCACACACACAACCACACCACCCCCCCCACACACAGACCCACACCACACACCCCCACACACACCCCCACAACCCCCACCACACCCCCCCCCACACACACACCCCACACACACTACACCCCCCCCTCACACACACCCACACACCACCCCCCCCACACACCCACACCCTCCCCCCACACACACACCCCCCCACACACACACACCCACACCCCCCCCCTCACACACACCACTATCAAGATACGCGTACGGTGCCTGGTAATAAGATACAGGCACTGGAGAGAGAGAGAGTGAGTGCACAGTATGAGCTCAGAGTCACTAACCCTATATCGCAGCCACAGCGCTGCCCCCCCCCCCCAACCCCCCAAGCGCTCACAGGCGTTATTCTTAACGCGAAGGGCGCTATAGAAATGCGAGTCGTTCATAACACTGCGAAAGTGCCCAATACTTTAGACCGGGTCACTGGTGCATCGTACAGCAACAGCAACGCTGTGGCCACTCAATGCGTAGTAGTAAAATAAAACAAGGACTGGAAGCTGCTGTGTACATTATGTGGGCGTAACACACAGCCTGTGAGTGAGACAAGCCGTTGCAACATATACAAATCAAAGCAAATAATGTTTCCCTTGTACTTAAGCAATAAAAGTACCAGGAAGTCTCTAAAACACTAATGCAACCCGTGAGAGATTGAGGGGAACATCACTGCAAGAGGGAAGATTGCTCTCGTCCAGATACCCCGAGAGCAGCTCTCCAATCCCACCCCCAATTCAAGGCTATATAACCCTTTCCACTCCCCCCCCCCCCCCATCCAATTTAGCCATATCGCAAGAACAACACCAATAATGGTTCCAACGATGTAACATGACTGAAGGGTATACAGCTGAGTGAACACTCATTCTTGTCAATGTATACTTCTTCAAAAGGAGCGCGTGAACAAAACTGCAGTCACTTTGGCCAATATGTAGCTCAATGGAAATTTCTGAAAATGAAATAATCCAAGAAACCTCTCTGACCACGAAACACTGCGCGAAGTAGAGAAGTAGAGACATGACCCCAAACCAAAAAGCACAAACGTCTTTCAAATGCAAAACAGTATCACTCAGAGATAACGGAGCACTTTCCCAATAAGCACTCCCTGTTTTGTGGAACAATGAAGACGAATACAATATTGGCCATTGAAATTCCAATTCTGAAGGACTTGATCTCCATTTTTAACACGTAATACACACCGTTTGTTATTTGTTCAGACCTTCATTTTTGTCTTCAATAAGATTACAATTGCTTCATGAAAAAAAACATTAGGGATTCCCTAATAAGGAAACCAAGTCAGTACCATTTCTGGAAGAGGTATATCACTTATGTCACTTATCACATACTATTTGAAAGAAAGTTTCTCCTGGCCCACAATATCCCAGATAAAATTGGTTCTTTGCTTCATGGACTGGTTGTAGAACAATGCAGTTTGTAGAACAATGCACAATGCACAATTAACCGTAATAATAATAATAGTAATAATCCTTGCATTTGATATAACGCTTTTCACATCTTCTCAATGTCTCAAAGCGCTTCACAGAATAGACTGTAAAGTGAATTGACTGTATATTTGTGGGTGAAATGCGGCAGCCAATTGCACACAGCAGTGTCCCACAAACAGTTGCAGATTGAAAATGAGCAATTGGAGGGATTATTATTAGACGTGTGGAGTAAGGATACTCTTAAGCATGGTCATGGCATATGTCAAACATCCAGCTGACAAAAGAAAGAAAAATAGAGTGTGAAAATTGGCTGCCAATTGGTGATGGTGACTACCTGTAAGTTCTTAAAGGAGAGTCATGAAGGGGTTTCAGATTACGTCATAGTAATAATAATAATCCTTGC